CCCCCCCCCCCCCCCGGCCACCCAACGCGCCCAGCGCCCACGGGTCCGAAACAACACTAGCGCCACCAAGCGGCGAACTGGAAACTATTTGCTGAGTGTACCCCATTTTTGGAAAATATGATTTCAAATAAAATTTGATTCGTCTATGATAGAGGGCAGCCTCATCGTAGAAGCTTCGAGAAGTTGAGAAAACGATGTGTGTAACGGTTTTGAGTGAGGATGACGCAACAAGAGGCTGTCTGAATAATATCGTTAATTTAAGGTTTTTCTAAGGTTTAAATAAACAGATTGAAAATTGATGATATGTGGATTATTCAAACATGGTAGCAGAGCGTGGTTAGTGAACAAAAAAAAACATTAAAAGAAGCGTAAAGACTAGTAGAACGTGATTAAGATGTCCGTGAAGAACGACGAGATCCAATTGCAAGTGTTTGATGGGAAGAACTACGCGAAATGAAGATTCAAGTTGAATCTTTTCCTTGAATGGAAAAAATGTGATGAAGTGATTAACCTCGATGAAAGACCAGAAAATATCACGCAGGAAATCTGGAAGGAGAAAGAATTGAAGGAGACAGCTAAAAAGATGTTACAGAAGTTGGATCAAACGTATTTGGTTAAAAACAGTATAATTAAGTTGTTGAAGAAGAGGAGACTATTGGACTTGAAATTTAAAGAAGGTGGTGATCCACTGGAATTTTTCAATCAGTTTGAGAAGTGTGTGAATGAACTGAAAAATGCAGGTGAAGCAGTAAGTGAGGAGGATAAAGTGAATTATCTACAGTTGGCGTTACCGGAGAGCCTCTCACGGATGGTGGACTTAATTGATGCGTTACCAGTAAAGGACAGAACTGTTGAATTTGTGAAATCGAAGTTACTGGTGGAATTTCAGAAGAAAGAAAATGCAAAAATGGACCCAAGGAATTCAGCTCAAGCTTTCAGTTCTCAGGGACCGAGGAACGCTCGTCATGGACGAGGTGGTCAGAGGGGACATAACGGATTTGACAACTCGAGGTACAATAATAATTATCATTATCAACAACAATGAACAAACTCAAAGAGACCAGTGGAGAATCCAAATAAACGAAGTAGACCACCCAGGGGATGGAAACTCAATGTAAATGCCTATACCTGGCTATTTGGCTAGCGGGTCTCTAGGAGGCACCAACTTACTGACAAAAAGTCCTCGAATTCGGTGCTAAACGCTGTTGGTGCTTTACTTTTTAGTTATATCCCTGACGAAATCATAATAATAATAAAATGAATAATTTTTTGGACGTGCAGTAAATTATTGATAGAATAATCAAACAAAATATAATTGATGGACGGAAGAAAAGAGAAATATATCAATTATTCTTCCTCAGTCTTGTTGATATTATGAGAAGCAAATCACCAAATGAAATGTCATACTTATACCTTTCTGTTTTTAGAAATAATCCTCAATAAATCTGAATTACATGCAATGATTATCGTTTTGGTATTAATGACATCTTTATGGTTCTTTTTCCTATAATTCCTATGTAGAGGACGTCCAAAATCAATGAATTTCAATTGTCGTTCGTGGACATTTATGTCATTTCATACAGTTTATTCATTATTCTCTATATATAGTCGAATAATGGAAGCAGAATCAATTATCATTCTGCTGAATTTTATCCTTGAAAAAATTAGTCATTTTTATGGGGATGGTGTGAAAAAGCGAGGTATCAGGAGGATCAAATGTAGGAAGAGAATATTTCAGTTTATTAATAAATAAATGCAGTTCATTAATTATTTTTTCATTGTTTTCTCATTTATTTAATCATCTAATATTATTTAATACAGAGATAAAAACGTTGTGAGAGGAAATATGGGCCTTAAGGGGTGAAATATCTCTGTTGGCCATCAGCCCCCATGTTTTTTTATTCAGCAGTGTGTGATTCGAAGTCCCTCCTTCTTTCTGTGGACTCGTTTCTCTTGCCGCTGCTCTTCTTTTGGGCGTTTCTGCTGATGTTGATGGATAAATCACTTCGGTGATTTCATCTGTAGAAATAAAAATCAGAACATCATTCAATTGCACTGCAATAATCATAATTAATGACTCCATTAGGGAATTCCATGGATTAGGCCCGGTTGCACCACCCTCTGTTAAAGTTACCAGCCAGTAAACCTCTGGTAAATTTTTGATAAATTTTATTCGGATGTTACTGGAGGTTTATCGAGAGTATACTTAAGAGAGATTTATCCCCCCGGTAAATGTCTGTTAAGTAATCCTCAATTAGTTTGCAATAATTTAATTTTTTTAATTTTGAAAGGTTTGAGTTTGATTTTTCATTTTAAAGTTTTAGGAAACTTAAAAACTCTGGAAAAAAATTGGGAAGTTTGCTTTTGAAACAGAATTGATAAAATAATTGAAAAATTACAATATTTGAAAATTAGGGGTGAGTGGAGCGAAGTCAAACGGCGCGACAAAGTAAAACGAGTTATGGGTAAAACCGCGACCCCTGGAGGTGTGGAGGGCGTTTTAGACTATCGCCGAATTAGAATTCGCCCAGCATGTGCTAGGGGAAACGGGGCCGACGTACAGGCCGTCCAACTGGGCGATTCTATAGGCTATGTTGGAGTAGGCTAGGGACCAACGGCCAGGTGAAAGGACTGGTACCTCCGTGATCCCGTCGGGTTGATTGGTGGGGATAGGGTAACGGAATGACCTATCATCGCCGAGATATCCAGACTAGGAGGCAAGGCCCTAGTAAGATTCCACGTGAGTCGCACGCGAGCGCTTGAACCGAGAGGTTGAAATAATCTCTCGGTGTGCTGGAAGTGGTGGATGGCTGAAGAAGCCATGGTAAGGAGTTTACTCAGCGTAGCCTGGTGGATAACTGTGGCGGCGAATATAGGGGGATGTCCCTGCATCCCCCGCGCGTAAATCTGAGTTATTTCGGAACGCGAGGTGACGACTTCGTCGTGTTCGGCGTCATCTAGTCTCGGCGGAATGATTCGAGGCNCTCAGAGGCCGGTTTTCGTCGAACCTCCCGTGAAGGTTCGGCTGGCGCCCGACTATTGAGCGATAGAGACGGCTAAAAAGTAGTTTGGATTTTTCCTGGGTGAACAACCCGGGAAAATATCCTTACAACATTCGCTTTTTGCCATCGTTTCATTTAGCCCGGCGTTTAACTTTACCCTAGGTCCCCTACGACCATTTTTTTATGGATAATAATTATTATATAATATAATGCATTCATTTATAAAAAATCCATTTAAAGGCCTGAAAATAATTTTTTCGAAATCGTAACAAATTCATAAATTTTCAAAATTTTACCTGAAATCCTTTTCATGCACAGAAAATAAGGTTCCCAAAACTTCAAACAATTTCAATTACTCATTTATCAGAAGGAAATGTTAACAATAAAAAAATTCTTTACAGAATGGAATTTGAATGAAACTCGATATCCATGAATTATTTCAAATTTATGGCATAAGAATCTGAGATAAAGAAGAAAGTCAACTTCTGGTGAAAAATGGATAAAATAATTCAAAAGATACGATTTTTGAAGATTACGATCATTTTTCATGAAAAATTTCTTCAAAATCTGAGTGTTCCACCCTGCAATGATTTTTTTGAAAATCCTAACAAATTTATTAACGTTCAGAATTTCACCAGCAATCGATTTCATACCTAAAAATAAGGTTTCCGAAAGTTTAAACAATTTTAATTATTTATTTGCAAGAAGGGAATGTTTGAAAGAATAATAATTATTTACAAAATGTAATTTAACTGAAACTAAATATCCATGTTTTTTTTTTAATTTTCACACGTAATTTGATTGAAACGTTAAATTGTTGAAAATGTCTGAATGTATAATGTGATCTGTACCAAACTGGAACAAGTACTTAAATATATCCTCAAATTTACTGTGTGGTTTACTGGGGAGATACTGGACCAGTAAAATTTTAACAGTCTGTTAGTATCACAGGCTGTTAAATTCACCTAACAGGGGTTGGTGCAACCGGGCCTTAGTGAAATTTTAAAATCGACAATCCTTGGATAATGCTCATAAAAATTCGCGTTTTGAACAATCAAACAAAATAGATTGCCAAATCGTCATAAAAAAATGAAAAAAAAAAATTTTTCTTTTACCATAGGATACATTGTCACTCAGGACTCGTTTCGATACCGCTGGCTTTTCAGCATTGTCATGTGAGCATCTTGGTTGATCATCGACTAGGTCCCTGACTGGTGCTGTATCCACAAGGATATCACCTGATGATACCAGAGATATGTGGACAGGCACATCGTTTACAATCTCAATATTAATTAGTGGAGGGATATTTTCTGTAATTAAAAGACAGAACGAATGAGGACAAAAGGATTGACTGCAAACTGTGGATGATAGGGGAATGATGATAAAATATCCATGATTGAATGAATCTTGGCAACATCAGACCAATTTTGACTCACAAAATGAGGTACACAGAACGTTGATAAAGAATCACTCAAAGGTTATGAGTATAATAAAGGTTTCAATGACGAGAAATTACCAGAGTCATCAATACGTTTAATTTCAACGTTCGATGGTGGCTGGTTGCAAGGAGTACATTGAATTGTTTGTGCATCTCTTGACACTTCAAGTTTTGCCTTTGGTAATGGTGTTGGAGTTTCTCTTGAACGTTTGGAATTAATTAATGGGGAAGAGAAAAACAAAATTAGTGAGTTTCAATGCAATCACGTGTGTTTGATAGTCCAACAATAATAGTTCTATGAGCTATAAGCACTTGCAGAATAATTGAAAAGAACAAGTTCTATCTGCTGAATAGTGGAATTTCTCATGCCAAGAGATTTCGTCATAGTTACCTGATGATTTTTTGATTTTATTGAGATGTACTTCTCCTGCATAGAGCGCCCTCAAATCTTCCATAGGTATGGAAACTCTTTTGGCTAGAAAATTTAAATAAGATAATATATAACGCAGGTATCAATAATTCTAACGTGAAAAGAATGTTCACGATTTGCTTTCTGAAGTATGTTTAACTCAAGAATGAATTTCTTTCTCTTAAATTTTATTGGTGTCCCGTGTAATTAAGTTGCATTTCTTAAAATTTTGTTGAAGTCACTACCCCGTGCTACCAGCTCCCCAATAAATAAATAAATAAACCATTCCCTTAATTAGAAAGTTGTTTTGTTTTGATTACTCGAATTATTAATTTGGTGACACCCATCGATGGATTTGTGAAATCCGGAAATGAATCATCACACAAGAATGATAAGAAAAAGAAATTATTTCAATTTTGAATCTGTGAAGAAACATTAGCCCACAATAGCTCATCTGGATAAAAATTTGTGCATAATCTACCTTCTGTGGGGAGGAGAGTATTCTTGACTGTTTGAGGATATGGGAAATTTTGCAAAAGCTCATCGTCAAGAGGAACAACTTGTGAATGAAACACAGATGGTACAGCTGTATCCTTCAATTTCTTCTTGGATGGATTTCGAAACTGATCAACAGTGAAATGACATCCACAAACATAACGTATTTTGTTGTGTCTTTCCACTGATAAATTCCGTAACTCATTTACTCCTATTCTCCGTACCCACTCCTTACACACAAAGCAAAACACAAAATGCTAAAGTAAAGACTGAGTCCATTAAGAAATCCGGAAATTTCTGTCATTATTAAACAAATTAATTACCGATCCACTTGTTTTGGGAAGCTCGCAAAAATACAGTGTTTATTCTTATGGTGAACGTGTCCGCAATACGGGACCACACACCTGGAATTTCTCGGCATCTGCACAGAATGAAAAATAATGAGCTAGCAATATCGAAATTGAAAATAACCTAACTTCGAACAGTTCTGCAGAGGAGCACGCATTAACAAGGAAATTCGTAATACTAGACAACAATATATATATTTATATATTACTATCATATATGTAACATAGAAATTGTAAGAATATTAACTATCAACTATCGACATTATCATTAAAGAAAAACAAGCCAGAAACTTTTGTAAAAAAGTTCAGAAATTTCCATAAGATAAATTGTAATAACACTCAATTATACTTACAATGTCTCGAAATAATCACTTAGTCCTTTCACCTCTATAAACTCACTATTCAGTTTTGTATTAATCACCTTTAATAATTATTAATTATTCACGTAGTAAAAATTGTCACTCGAGGTAAACAACAACGGAACAATATGGCGTCTTGAATAACGTCAAACAATATGGCGGCGGGGTCAGGATTACCATGAAAAATGAATGAAATTCGGTTGGCAAACGTGAGAAAGCCCGTTTGCCAAATAAAAGTGGAGGGGGAAGGCTGAGTTTCCATCCCCTCGAGACCACCAGTGAGATGTTACAAGTGGAATGGGATTGGACAGATAGAGCGTTATTGTCGCAGTAATTGGACTATGGGAAACAGAGAGCCGAGGAGTTATCAACAGAGGAATACGTCTTCACGAGTCACTGGCAATATGGCAGAGAAGGAAATCAAAGCCAAAAATTCGTTCTACATTGAAGTAATGACAACGAGCACAGGTGCAACCAGAGAGAGACACAACAATGACTGGTCTAACAAGATTTTCTCGTTACTGTAAACTGTTGTACCAACACGAAAACCCATGAGACAAGAATGGTTAGAGTGGGGGACAGAAAGGAGAGCGACATCTAACGCTAGCTGAAGAAGCTGAGCGAGAGATGAGAGTGACATCGAACGGCGGTTTAAGTAAACCGCGCGTGAGGTGAATAGACCAATCAAATAATGCCAAGAGGCGTGGTTTGGATGAAACCATGCTTCTGAACATTATAGAGAGACTGTCGATACCCTGTCGCCTTATCTAGAAACTCGCCCAGCTGTATTTGGGCGAAACGGGCCAACGTACTGGCGTTCCAACTGGGCGATTCTAGAGGCGCTATCGACTTAGACTAGGGACCAACGGCTAGGTGAGAGGACTAGCGCTCCCTCGATTGCCGTCGAGCTGATTGGTGGTGGTGGGGTAACGGATGACTCACCGCCGCTGAGATGTTCAGACTAGGGGGAGTAGGCCCTAGTAGATTTCGAGACAGTCGGTGACAGGCACCGGAGTCGAGCGGATGAAAATCGTCCGATCCTCGACGATGGTCGTAAGTGGCATTAATCCGTTATGGATTATAGGGGTACTTTGTGAGGACAAGATCTGAAACAGCGAGAGAATGGGACGCTTCGGCGTCCCAAACAGAATGATCGGATTACTTTGAGGACTTGGGGTGTTTTAATTCCGTGTTCTCAGGGATCCATCACTTCGGGCGAAAGAAATGGTGTTGGCGTGGATCCGTGGGCCGGGAGTTAAGCCGACTCCTGGAGGCCCGATCGCATGTGCCTCTATGACGAGTAATCTGGGTGTTGGCCCGCGATGATAGTGCTTTTACCGAGCATTGAGATTGAGTTGGAGTGGGCACAGGTGGGTGAGAATAAGTCTCCGGATACCTGTGTCGTATGTGCCTCTCAGTGTTCGGCGCTCCGAGGAGTGAGAAGGATTCGCGGGTAATGTTCGACTTCTCCAGAGTTGAGCCACTCTGGAGAGGAAAGGAATATGTGAGAGGAATGGAAACATCCTCGGCGAAAGATACATGGAAGAATGGCTCCTGGAAGATACGCTTTATCGAGGTCTCTCGGCTGAAAAGACGAAGATCGATCGAGTGAATTACTCCTAGTATGGTGGACCTCGCCCGCTCTACCGTTTTACGCTGATGCTGGCTCCACATTGTTAGTCCCGCCACGAGAAGTCCTCAGGGTAGACGAGTTATCCTCTGAGGCCGGTTTACCGTTGGATTTTCCGTGAAAATTCAGCTGGCGCCCGACATAATTGAGCGATAGAGAAAATGCCAAAATAGTTTGGGATGTTTGCTGGTGAAGCACCGGCGAAAATCCCTTACACTGGGTAACATGGCTTTTAGACAGCGGTTGTTCTGATCATATTGTTAATTCAGACAAATTTTTTTGGTCGAGTGAGACATTAAAGAATCCAATTGGCATAAGAGTTGGAGATGGTTACTCATTAAAATCAGAGAAGATCGGCAATATTAATATGAAATTTAGAGTGGGTAATAAACTCGTTGAAATTGAGATAAAGAATATTTTTGATGTGCCCAATATGAAACGAAATTTATTGAGTGTCTCTAGTATTGTGAAACAGAAGAATCGAGTAATATTTGAGAATGAAAAAGCTAATATTTTTAATAGTAAAAATCAAGTAATTGCAGTTGCAGAGAGGAAGGGAAAACTTTTCGAAATAGAAGGACTAAAGGTAGATGACGAGGCAGAAAGAGTGAAGTTGTGCAGTAATTCCGTTGAGGTTAGGATGACTACTAAAGAGAAGTGACACAGGTAATTGTGTCATGCCAATTTTAGAGATTTACAACATATACGTGAATTATAATTACTAGATGGAGTCCCAAAGACAATTGAGAATGAAGTTCTAAAGTGTGAAATTTGTCTATCGAGTAAAATGTCTAACATGAAGTTCACGAATGAGAGAACCAGAGCCAATGATTTGTTAGAAATTGTTCATACAGATGTAAGTGGGCCAATAACTCAAGCAGGTATCAGTGGAGAGAAATATGTTGTATCCTTCATCGATGATTTTAGTAAGCTTGCAGTTGTTTATTGTATAGAACACAAAAGTGATGTTTATAGTCGATTCGTTGATTACATGACTACAATGCATACTTTAACTGGCAAAAGAATCAAAGAACTTCGTTGTGATAATGGTCGTGAGTTTATTAACAAAAATTGGATGGATTTGGCTAAAAGAGAAGGCATTTTTGTGAGACCATGTCCTCCCTATACTCATGAATTGAATGGCGTAGCCGAGAAATATAATCGAACAATTATGGACAGAGCACGATGTTTATTAGCAGAGGTGAATATTGATAAGAGTTACTGGGTCGAGTGCATTTACGCAGCAGCATATCTGGGTAATAGACTGATTGCAAATACGAAGATTGATCAATCTCCTCATGAAATATTGTTTAATAAGAAACCAGATGTCACTAATCTACGTATATATGGAAGCAAAGCATATGTGAGAGTACCCGATGAGTGCAAGGAGTCAAAACTGAATCCAAAAGCAATGATAGGTATCTTGATTGGTTATACAGATATGGGTTACAAAATATTGGTGGACAGAAAGATAATAATAAATAGAAATGTACAATTCATTGAGCAAGACACGAAATATATCAAATTTAACTTCGATGAGTCCGATGAAAATAATCAGGAAGAAATTCTTAAAGACGGTAATGTTAGAATGGATAAAGATGAAAATGATGAAATTAAGGAGGTGATAGAATATAATGATGAACCAGAAATAGCTGAAACTCCCATGAGCCCCAGGCGAGAGATTAAAAGGCCAAAGAGATACGATGATTATGTAGTTTACATAAATTATACCAATGTTAGTGTACCAAAAACTTATGAAGAGGCAATTAACAGTCCTGAGTCAAAGAAATGGATTAATGCAATGGAAGAAGAACTAGAGAGTCTTAGAATAAATGAAACTTGATCAGTAGTTGATACTCCTGAAGATAAAAAGATCATTGAAGTTAAATGGATATATACAATCAAGTCTAATGGAAAGTATAAAGCACGGGTAGTAGCTAAAGGGTTCCAACAAGTTTTTCAGGAGATTGAAGAGATTTATTTGCCTGTGGCGAAAATGCATACATTCAACAAATGGATGTTCAAACTGCGTTCCTTAATGGAAATATCAAGTCTCAAATTTATATTTACCCACCTGAGGGCTATCAAGTTAATGGTGACAAAGTTTGTTTATTGCAAAAGGCTATATATGGGCTGAGAGAGAGTCCCCGAGACTGGTATGAATGTTTCAATGATTACATGACAAAATTAAACTTGGAAAGGTCAAAATACGATTTTTGTTTTTATACAGGCGTGATTAATAATGAGAAATTATATGTGATACTGTATGTTGACGATTTGTTGATTTGTGGATCGAGCGGAAGAGGGATACTTAAACTTCAATCATTATTGAATATGAGGTTTCGTATGAAAGACTTGGGACAAGTACAACATTATGTGGGCATTGAGGTTGAGTATCATCAAAATGAGAATGAATGATTTTTACATCAAGAAAAATACATTGTTAGTCTCGCAGAGAAGTACCAGATTAAGAATTCTAAGAAGTATGAAACACCCATGGAAATGAATTTGAAATTAGAGCCAGCAGAAATTACTGATTATGAGTTGACGTACAGAAATTTGATTGGAGCTTTGTTATTCATTGCTAGTGGCACACGTTCTGACATTTCTTTTTCGGTAAATTATTTGGGTCAATTCCAAAGTAGTTACAATCATGAGCACTATCAATATGCACTAAGAGTTCTAAAATATTTATACTGGACAAAATCACTTAAATTAGTTTATACCTCAAACTCAAAGACAACAATTGATGGATACGTAGATAGTGATTGGGCATCAGATGTTATTGATAGAAAGTCGACTACTGGAATTCTTATTAGAGTTTTTGGAAATGCTATATTGTGGAAATTACTCAAACAGAAGGTAGTATCAAGAGCTTCGACTCATGCTGAGTATTATGCACTAGCAGATTGTGTAGAGGAAGTTCTACCCATTAAGGGAATTTTAAATGATTTCGATGTTGTAGTTAGTGATCCTGTTTCAATATATGAAGATAATACAGGTGCAATAGGGTTCGCTAAAAATGATAAATTTTCTAAGAATTCCAAGCACATTGATACAAGCTATCATTTTGTCTATGATTATGAAAAAGATGGGGTAATAAATGTTAAGAAGATTCATACAGACGATCAAATAGCTGATATACTCACAAAGGCACTGGGAAAATCAAAATTTCATGCACTTCGTACTCTGTTGGGTTTGAAAACATTATAAGGTTGTATATGGAAAATTATTATTATGAAATCAAGGAGGTATGTTGGAAAATATGATTTCAAATAAAATTTGATTCGTCTATGATAGAGGACAACCTCATCGTAGAAGCTTCGAGAAGTTGAGAGAACGATGTGTATAACGGTTCTGAGTGAGGATGACGTAACAGGAGGCTGTCTGAATAATATTGTTAATTTAAGGTTTTTTTAAGGTTTAAATAAAGAGATTGAAAGTTGATAATATGTGGATTATTTGAACACCCATACTACTTCCGAATTTGGCCACTGCCCCTATCATGTTTCAAATTCATTAATTAATAACTCTAAATAAGTCCCAGACCCAAATGTCGAAGAACAAATTTCGTCTCAGAATTTCACCCTCTTTCATTCCTCGAGAGATGGTAGATATAAATTTACTATTCTTCTCATCATTTTCTTCATCTCGCCTTCATATGTTCAATATTCGACCCTTGTGACCCTCGTGCGTACTAGCTAACCCATGTGACCCTTGTGACAGATAACTGCTGGTCCTGGACTTGTGTATGACAAGACATTAAGAAAATGGTTTGTCAGTTAACCCTCTTGTTTTTAGACAGAAAAACATCCTATTTTAAGACATTCAAAATTCCAATCATTACGAAGTTAACCGATAAGACAAATTTGTGATCTGTCTTAAATTAAGACGTCTTAAAGACACTATATTCCACAGTGCAAGACCATCCTGGACGGTCACCAAATCTTACCAAATTTTCAACACGGAGGCTTTAACCTACTTGAAAACAATGTTGACCGATTTACAGAAAATCATGCAATATAGCGGCCATTCGTAAAGATAAATAACGGTTTTCATCGTTTCTTGACAATCTTCGCCATGTTTTATATGAATATGTTGTCCGGTGAGCTGTGGGGCCTTGTTTGAAGTAAATACATCAGTTGAAAAGATCTCAGGATGCCCATTTTTCAAAAACTGATCCCTGCAGGGTTGATGGGCACTGAATAGTGTCTTCCCATGACCCTTAAAACTATTTGATACTACTGATTGTTCCACCCGTCTCTACCTTTTGAATAAACAATGGATATTTGTTATTGGATTTCACATTCGTTTGTTTGTTCGTTTGGGACCATCCCATCAAATGCAATGCGGAAATCTCATCTCAAAATTTTCGACAATATTTTTTTCGGTTCTATTAAATTTTGTACATTTTACGAAAATATATCGTATTTAGTAAAAAACAAACGCATCTAGGACGGAAAGTCATGTTTTCTCCTCCAGAGGCGCACCCCGTGTAGGAATTTGACCGGGGATTCAGCCGAAACTCGGGTACTCAGAACTCAGCCTCGGCTTGACGCTGTACCCGAGTTCACAGCGCGTCACGCCGCTCCATACCGGCTTGGAGCGCAACGCCAAGACGGCACAACTCGGTACCTGCGGTTGAGCAGTGGCTCAACGCTCGAAACTCAGCTCCGACTCAGTCGTGTCATTTCGAGTGGAGGGTGGAGCAAAATCGAATTGGATCATTCCCCAGAATAATCTTAAAGGTTTCTAGGAATCTTCCTCCCCGGAAAAAATCTCGCAAAAAAAATCCCCATTGCCCCAAATAAAAATACAGGAAAATCGAAACAAGTCCATTTCACGTGTCTTCATTCTTCAAAGAAAAAAAAAATACAGAAATACCTTTTGTGAATCACTCAACAATATCATTTTAGAATCGTCTTGATACAACTGATTCAATTGATTTTTACACTGGACTGGTTTATACCACTTCAGCTTCTGCTGCGCTTGTGATTACGTTTAATTGCAAATCCATGTCATCTTCACAATTATTCCCTTGATTTTTTGATCAAATTGCAATGCTATGGGACCTGTCAAATTATTATTGAGGTTAGGTGTCCCGGGATCGAGTAACTGAGGATAATCCGGAGGTTGAGCGGTGGCCATTCAACTAAGGCCCAGGGAAGCTTCCCGAGCGCTAGTGTAACGGCGGCTGAGAGCGCGTGACGCGGCTAAAACTCAGTTAGGCGTGTAGCTTGCCCGAGCCAGGGTAGAGCGGCGTATTTCTAGCTGGGATACAGCTTCTCACCAGAGCTCGAGCGGCGCGATTCCTACACGGGACATACTATTTTTCACCATGCTTGCAAAGGAACTACGTGTTTGCTTTCTGAGAAGTGAGAGGAAAGTGAGTACTTTCCGTCCAGGATGAAAAGTTGCTCCCGAAGGCAGGAAATACTAATTTTTCGCCCTTCGGTGGAGAGTAATCAGTACTTTCCGCCCGAGTGAGCAATTTTTCACCCTAGTAAAACTAAACTAAACAACGAAAGAAAAATAGTGAGAAATTTGAGTGCCGGATAAAATGACCCATATATATTTAAAGAAATAATTCATATCATATTCAAGTAAAACTGCAAATAAAAATCAAGTTTGAATGTGAATAAAACATTTATTACGAGCTATTTGACAGTTATCGGAAGCAGTGATACATGACTGATTTCTTACATTATTATGAGGGAAAAATCCGTTTGGATCACAAAAAACAACGTATTGAAGTGGAAGACAAAAATTTTTTTCAACAGATTACAGAAAATAACATTATATTAAAGCAGTTTCCATGAACAATATCCTTGGGAAAGCGATTTCATGATTTTGAAGCAGCACCTATTCTTATCGCTGAAAAAAAATGAATTTCGTTATGAGATTGACGGATTAATTTTTCGTAACGGAATAGAAATTTTTACATACAGAACATCTTCTCCAGAAGCAACGGCGCGAGCAACACTGGCTACTATGTGCACACTGCAATCATAGCAATCGCAGATTAGAAATTTTTTAATGTCTTCCTATGGTTTCAATTTTTATTTGATACCAGGCCGTGGGGAACTTTTCTAACGAATATGAGGTTACAGAACGAGCCGAAGGCGAGTGCTGTAATCATATGAGGCAAAAGTTCTTCCCGGTCGTGTATCGAACGATTTTTTTTTTACTTCGTCCATGAAGCTGTACCTCACGGACTAAGTGACAAAATAGTAATCCCTGCCGACGGTCGTTATGACAAAAAAAATTGTTCGTCACACGGTCGAAAAAAACTTTTCTAGCTCTTATGATAAGCCTTTTTGAACAAAAGAAAAACTTTACGGTCCAGTTGCACCAAATTTACTTACATAACCTAAACCGTCAGTTAATGGCTAGACAGTACGAATTTATAGTACGAATTTATATTAGGTTGTAAAAATTTAGCAAGGCATGGTGCAACCGGTCCTATTTATTAGAAATGAAATATTTATTAAAATGGTGAAGGGATTGACTTTTCCGACTTGTAATAATCCTTTATTCAGATGAAATAAATCATTCATTTGATTCTAATAGGGGATTCATTTAGAACGAATTAATTCTTTATTTTATATCATTGGAACATTTTCAATAAAATAAATATATTAATTCATTAATTTCACCGAAAATATTGAAGAAACTGATGAAAAAAATTAAATAGTAGATTTTACTTGATTTAAACCCATCATTTCTCTAAGTCAGTTGAACATTTTTAGGCGCATACAAAGATAACATTTCCATAAACTTTTGATAATTCGAACAACTCACCGCAACCCCATTTCCTCTGCAACCCTGTCCGACAACAACCGCTGCCAGCATTGCGATCACTATGAAAATAGAGAGAAACTTCATAATGTAAAAGAATCAGTTCGATTGATTCTCCCACGAATAATGACTCGTGTTGACAATTTGCCTTTATAAGGATACAGAGTCTCATATTTTTCCCAAAGTTTATTCTATAAGGAGCAGCTTTTCCTCATGAGAATGTTTGCTCATATGGAATTGAAAAAATAAGACTCCCGATTTACCTTGTTATTGTTCCGTGTGACAGAGGAGGAGTAAATGAAAATAAAGAACGTAGGGTACATTTACGTATTTACTGACATTATCATAATCGTATCATGAATATTATTGTGTCTGGGGGAATGATGGCGTCAGCTTGTTACTACAGCTTGAGAGGATCTGTAGTCCTATATACATGAATAAAAAAATTTCATAGAAAATCTATTGCATTTGCTAGAAAATTCTATTAGATTTTTATTGTCCTATGATGATGTTTGCACCTCGCGCATAGTGCAAGCCTACTCATTGCGCCTTATGGTTCTGTTCGTTTCGCTACACTGATAGAACGGTTTAGTCGAACCAAACGAGACTTTTTAACTATTACCACGATTTGTTAACTATTAACGAATCGCGGTAACAGTTAAGAAGCCTCGTTTGGTGCACCTGAGTCGTTCCACCTTTTCTATCAGTGTACAAGGGCGTCACTCCAAGAAGACTTGTACACCGGCCTGCAAAATTTCAATATTTCAAGAATTTCAAAGAATGTCACAGGATTGCATAGTATTTTAAAGAATTTCAGTTTCGAAAATAGCCTGAAAATTTTTATCTCTATACAGATAAGGGGCTCTCCACATATCACCTGAGATATTTAAGGGGGGGGGGGAACTTGAGATATCTGACGATTCCTTATTTGCGCAGAAAAGGTGTCTTCAAAAATCATACGTAAGTTTCTTTTGGATTGTTTTTGCTTCCGAATAGTTTGTAAATGCGATTTTTTTTAACTCTCCAATTTTGCTTGAGAATGCACGGACAGAAATTTTTTAGAAAAATTCTAGTGATAGCGCGGAAAAAGAGGCGAAAAATGACGGCCGGGAAAAAATTCCAGTGCCGCCACTAGAAATTTTATTGGGGAAAAGGTGAATTTTTCCCCGTATTTTTGTGAAAATTTCACAGAAATCCACAAAAATTTTACCAGAAATATCAAGAAATTTAACCTTAACAGCACTCGAATTTTTCACAGCCGGTAGATTGTAATTTTTTCCAGTACTCGTACTAGAATTTTTCTAGAAAATTTCTCTCCGTGTAACTCAGGGTGTCATGAAACGTGGAAACATTATATTTTTAGCGACTGTCGGTGTGTATATGTGTACGCATATCCAGAACTGCCTCAATAACTCTAGAATAATTATTACAAAAAAACTGAAATTCTGGCTTTTAATTGCATGAGACACAAATCTGTGCTAAATATCAGTCCGATCGGTTGAGTGGTTACTACGATATAGCGATTTCTCAAAAATCGTTTTTTGCGGGTATCTCAAAAACGGTTGGACCAATTTCATTTTGTTTGTTCAAAATACTCGTCACGGTAATACCTGTCTCATGGGATGGAAATTGAACCACTTCGCCATGGAAAATTGTCTTGTGTTGTTTTTTCCATTTTTTTCGAAAAATTTACTTCTTACTACGATAACTTGAAAAATAATTGAGGTACAAACTTCAAACTCCATAGCATTTTTGCCTTTATGATTCCAAATTTTGGTATCTTGGACGGGCGAAATCGGACAGTTAGTTTTTGGACATATTTAACTTTGTATTTGCAACTTTTTTTTGGCAAAATCTCAAAAACCACTCGGCCGAATTCATTTTTTTTTCAAAATATCCGTTATAATAGCGGCTATCTGAAAACTTCAAAATATGGGTACCGATTCATTCAAAATTTTTGTGATATTTTCAATTTTCTATTGTTATGTAGTCAGTGTTTCTTATTTCATTTTTGATGTATTTTTATGAGAAATCATACTTTTAAATTCCAGAAATTTGTACATCTCACAATTAAAATTATTATTGCGTTTTCTACAAGATATTCACACTCGTCGTAGATCCAAAGAGGTGTAACAGCTATACTTATACACACTACTTATACACCCCTTTAGCTATACGACGATTATATGAACGATATACATCATACCCGCTATCTAAATTTAAGGCGCGTTTCGATTTGTTACATGTAAACTCTTCATACATTACAATCATGATCTTTCCCAAATCTTAATCCTAATTCACATTATTCTGACGTTGTTCTTGCAGTCTATCACAATCAAAAGAGGTTTAGTTTCTATATATTTATAATCCAGAGAGTTGACTTCAGACGTCACGTATGAAAAAATCCTATGGAGAATGGCACATTTCTTATAGAATTTCCAATCAGGTTTTCCCTATTAGATTTTCTACAGAATATCTCAGAGGCTCTCCTATGAAGTTTAGGGTCATAAGGGTCGGACGAGGGTTATATGGGAGTCATATGAAGATTATATAGGGATCATGCGAAGGTTATATTGGGTCAGGATAAAAATCAGGAATAGGGTCAGAATAAGAATGAAGAAAATAATGATCATCAGACATAAAAGTAAGAAACAAGAGCCAGAAATACGAGTCTGGAATAAGGGTCAAAGACAGGGGTCAGACAAACGTAAAAGTATGAAGGAATGATTCTTCTTCTTCCCTATGAGGAATTTTCATGAATTTTGAAAAATTGAATGTCGTAAAACATGATTCATCCAAAATTCTGTACTTTTGATTGACCTGATTAAAATAAGGGGTTTGCTGGAGCTTTTTTGTGACAAAAATGAACACATCGCTCCCAATCGGTCGCACCCTACCAAGCATGAGGGTATTACATATTTCAGCTTAAATTAATTAAATATAACATTTATTAATATTTTTACTAAAAAAATAACTCTGATATGCTGCGATTCTTGAACAAATAGGACAAGAATATTTTGTCCAATATTTCAACCAACAATAGCTGCAATTTGTTTTGTGAAACGTTTGAACACGGATAAAAATAAGTGGATAATCGCATGTTCTGTATATGAGTATAGTTTATGTTGCGAACAAATTAGCAATATGCTTCCGAATGAATTCTCTATTTTTGAAATTTATTACTCTTATTTTTAATTGTTTGAATAGTGTTCGGTTTTCCACCGAAGTATTTCTCATATACCCACGCACACTCACGCACGCTGGCTCCTCTCGCATGCGTGCATGGCTTCGCACAACTGACCTGTGCAACCGTCTAAAATGACCAGTGGCCTCTCACCTCTGACACCTTAGGCGCCACTTGATGGACAGGTGTCCAGTGAACGCCCCATTTAAATTGGGGCACATTCGGACCCTCGATGATCGACACCTGCCACCTTGCGGTCCTTTAATCGGCCTCATTTGCATTTCGGCCATCGTACAGTGTACTTTAACATTCTGCGAATTGCTCTATTGTTCTTCTCGAGCCCCCGTATTATTGCTCTGCGTTGATAATTCTATGAACTGCTCAATAATATTGTGACCCCCGCTATTTCTTTAACCATCTCGATAATTATCATTAATTAAACTGACTGTGTTTGACCAACGTGCACGTGTTGTGATTTTTGGACCTTCTCGCGCTCCCGGATCGATCCATAATCCCACAGATTTTACATCCGGCATCGAACATTTTTGGTCCTTCCAGCCGGATCTGTGGAATATTTTTCGGTTTTTCAGTTTTTTTGAGTGGTTTGAATGAGAGTGAAATACGTGCAGTGTCTCAGCAGTGGTGCTCAACCGCGGCTTCTCGACATCGAGTTGGCGGGAAGCGGAGTTCGGCTGCAAGCGGTGCTCACCCTAGATCTTCTTGTGCCGCATCAGGGGCCGGCTGTACCGATCAGGCAGGAAATTGAAATTGACCAGCTCTTCTAAAGGGAAGTGACTATTGTTTTCTTTTAATCCTTTTTTTCAATTTACCTCGTTTTTTTTGTTTTGACCATCGGGCTGGCCATTGTTTAAAAAAAAATCAAATTGTTTTTTTTTCGAGTTTTTTTGCGCAAATTCGGATTTTTGACCATCGGATCTCAGCATTTGGAGTCGTCTTTATTGACCTTCGACAAGTTTCTCTCATCCCTTCGGTTTTTTTTAACCTTATTTTGGGTTTTTGTTTTTTTATCTACGACAATTCGGGAGGATGGCAGCACTGAACGTGCTTATTACTCTGCAGACATCCCGCGCTAAATTCATTGCCGAGATTTTCGGAGAATCGACCACTGATATTTTTGATCAACTCGGTGTCGCCGCTCTGGATGCCAAGCTATCCCTTCTCGAGGTTTATTGGGAGAAACTCGAAATGGCTCATGAGAAATTAATTAACGGGGCAGCGAAGATCGACGGATTCGCTGATCTTCGTTATATTAAAGCCGGGGTATTCGATACGTCGCTTGAGCATTACGCCGCTGCTAAAGTTACGTTATCTAAACTGATTGAGAAACGCGGTGGGCCCAACCTCAATCAGACTCGACGCGGTTCAGCTAATGAGCTTGGTTCCTCGCAGGAATCCACTAGGAGACTGCTCCCGAAGATTTCGATTCCTAAATTGTGGCCTGTTCCAGTCAATGGTTGGGTCAAATCCAGAGATTCCCAGGGTTGAGAAAATGCACTACCTCGGAATCAGTCTTGCTGACGAGCCATTGTGTTTAATAACAAATTTGTCCATCTCAGAGGATTCATTTCCGATGGCCTGGAATCTCTTGATCTCTCGGTATGCCAACAAGCGTCTTCTGTTCTCTGCTCAGCTTGATCAGCTCATCAGCCCAGCTCCAATGGCAGCCCACACTTCAAAAGAGCTGAACCGTGTGACCACTGCAACCTCAGAGGCACTCAGCGCTCTTAAGTCTTTCGGCTCCCCCACTGAACACTGGGATCTAGTGTTGGTACACATCGTTGTTGATTGGTTGAGCCATAAGCTGCGTGAAGTATGAGAGAATAAGATCGGGGCATCAACTGAATACCCTACCCTCACGGAGTTCGATTTCTTGCAAGGTCGTGCTCGCGCTATGGAGAGCTT